CTCTCTCTCTCTCTCTCTCTCTCTCTTTCCCCATACTCTATTTCTTTGAGTGTGTCTTTTAATTTCTAATAAAATCTTTCCATGCCTCTTATTGACTAGTCCTAAAAATTATTTTGGTGAAGGCAAACCTCCAGTCTACGTTTATCTTGTTTTAAATTCTTCATCTCAGCTTTGGGAACCTCTGACCCCCAGTCCAACTGTTAAGGGAAAAATAATTCCCAACCTGTTAGATATCAGATATGCCTGAGTTCGTGCCTTTACAACATCAAGGAATGATGTCACAAACCAAACAAGGAAGTGCAGAGTTTTATTGGTAATGAAAAGATTAGCTCCTGGGTTTTCAGGAAGGGTCCCAAATGTCAAAGTAAGTCACAACATGGGTATAATGTTGGTGAAACATCAATCAACCTACAGGATTGCAACTATAGTACTTTAGCTAATATTGTTCCAACAAAGAAGTAGAGTACATGGAAAGAACAAAAGCATTCATAGAAATGGATTGGAATATGGATCTAGATGTTCCAGTCACCCAGTTATGTGTCTGATGCATAGCTGGGTTCACTGAACCAGGTAGTATTAAGTCAGTATAATCTCAAGTTGCTGTTTTTTTCTAAGGAGGTTTGCAGACTTGGCTATTGCATCTGCATCTTGAGACATGGTACTCCTCAAATTTACCTCTGGCCACAATCCTGTTGTAGCTTGTCTTCTACATGGACTCCCTCAAGGGACCAATACTTTGCCAGCTACCTACTAATTTCTAACTTAATTATCCATAATACGATGACATTATCACTTACTAGCAGGGAAGCTTTGTATTACCAGGAGCCTGGCCACAGGCCTGAAGTTGGGCTGGAGTATCTAGATTCATTCACCCTTTGCCATCAAGCATATGGGAAAATATCTATTTGTGGTGGTGCAAGACTGTAATCCCAGCTATTCGGGAGACTGAGACAAGACAATTGTGCATTCCAGGCCACCCTGGGATACACAGAAAGATTCTGTTTCCCAAAAAAAGTACAAGAAAAAACTATAAAACTTGGGAAAAATGAGATTATAATTGGGCAGCCAACCACCTTCCTCCACTGCACAGAAGCACTTTTACTTATAGGAGGGATTAGAACAAAAGTAAGGAAATATGCCTCTGCAGATTTTTCCAGAAAAATGCTGTAAGTCTGGTTCTGTTTGAACTTCCTAGCTCAAAGAGCATAACACTGGATTGCACAAACACATGCCTTATTTTTCTACTGTAAATTTTTACTTTAGTGTAATAGTAGTTGGCTGTGCATCTCAGTACCTTTGCCTGACAGATACAGGGAGCAATGTTTGTGGTTATCCACTTAGTATGATAAGAGGCAAGGTGTGAGCATGTGTGCAAAAGTGTCAAACCAGGGCTGGGGATTTAGCTCAGTGGCATAAGCGCCTGCCTTGCAAGCAGGCAGTCGTGAGTTCGATCCCCGGTACCAATTAAAAAAAAGAAAAAAAGTGTCAAACCAAGGTTTTCATTGACATGATGCTTCATTTAACAAGTTTGATTTTTGTTTACTTGAGCATCACAGAGGATATAGTGCACTCACAGTACTCTACAATTTGTTTTGATTTTTGTCTTTTGATTTTTCTGGTAGAAGTAGCCTAATTCAGTATAATGGCACATGAAAAATCAGACTTGCAAGTTTTGGAAGAAGTCAAAAGTGAATGATCAGAGTACTCATGCATGATAATGAAGATGATCCATACATGTTTTTAAACCAGATGAGTGGTGTGGGTGGATAATGATGATGATAATGGTGGTGGTGGCTGTAATGATTTGGCATTGGCCATGTGAACCAAAGTTCCTGTGATAGTGAAATGGAGCAAGAATAAATTGATACAGACATAGGGAATGCAGATGATGAAGAAAACAGCAATGTGAGTACATATTTGACTAATTGAAATGTTGCAAATTAGTCCCATAATCAAATGGAATGATCCAATGTTAGAACTAGGTCTGAAAATATAGTGAGGGTCTTGGCAGGCATGAAACATATTGGACAGAATGCCAGCACCGTCATTCAATGTTGGAAATTGTGAAGATGAAACGCTACAAGATGCTGTGAAATATACAAATGTTGGGAGCCACTGAAGCTCGAAATTGACCACAGGTGCAGGGCTGGGACATAGCCATCCCAAGAAGGAAGAGTACCAGGGCAAGCCACAGGAAAGAGCTGCTTCAGCCCAGAAAACACCTGCCTCCAAGACAATCCAAACAGTGGGTTGCTAGGACAACAGGGTGTCATGTGACATTAAGTTGCTAAAAGGTATAAACAAATGCCCCTGCAGTGAAAGGGGCAGTTCCTTTTTTCCCATCAGGAGAGCAAGTGCTCCACCTGACACTAGCTTTGTCTCTTTTTTATTTTTCTCACCCTCTCACCATCCTTCTTCCCAGAAAACACCTAGAGCTGCACAGGTCATGGCATACAAAGGCTGAAATACAAGTAAAACACTCTGTGTGCACCATATGGTGTGAACCATATTCGAAAATATATTTATTATGTAACACTCACTACCTGAATGAAAGCATTCAGAAGTCTGCTGTACTTATCAAGCATTTCTCATGAAAATCGCATGAATGTGAAAGACTTGTGAGAAGTGATGGATCAAAATATGGCATAAAAATTTATGCCCTTGTAGATGCAAAGATTTATTATGCTTTCAATTTAGAAATTTATCCTAGAACTTAGCCATTAAGTCCTTATTTACATAATAATAAACCAAATGACCCATTTCTCCTACCTCCCAAACTAATCAGAATGTGACATCAACAACTGGCTTACAGTTTTCAAAGGATGTTAATTTGCTAACGAAGCACATGTTGACCAGTGCAGGAATTGTATGCAGGAACAAAGCAGAAATTCCAAATGAAATGTTGTGATTGCAAAACAGAATTGTATAGTACAATCATTGGATTTCAGAAAGATTTACACTGGCCTTATACATAGCAAAACAAACGGGTACTGCTGATGTAAGTATTTCATATGATGGAAATATTAACAGGGAAATCTCGATGAAACAGAAACCTGAGATGCAAACTTTCTACAATAAATCCAAAGGCGGAACAGACGCTGTTGATGATTTATGAGGCAACTACGATGTCACTGAAAACACAAAACATTAGCCAAGGGTTGTGTTTTTCTCAGTCCTAAACACGTGCAGCATAAATTGTTTGATAATTTACAAAGAAAATAACAAATGCAAAATACCATGTAGAATTTTTCTTAGAGATTTGGCACTGGAACTCAGAAGCAATTATTTACAGCAAAGAAAAAAACAAAATGTTTCTGCCCTGGGAACTATGCCAAGGAAAAAATGTGTGGATCACATTGACAAGTTGACAGGAGACCAGCCTGCTGCAACATCCCAAAGATGTACTATGACAACAGGAAAACCAAAATGATGTCAGCTATGCCCTACAAGGAAGGACAGGAAAACAAAGCATATATATCCGTGTGGGCGATACTTGTATACTTATATACAGAACATGCAATTCTCATGTGTGAAGACTGGTTTGGACATAACAATAGAAGCAAAGATTGGTTTTTTGTAGAGTTCTATTGATATTTTCATTGTAATTCACATAGGTTTTTATTTCTGATATTATCTCTTACAAAAAAGCAAGTAAACACCTTAAGTAAAAATGCAACTGTCTATTCTAAGCACTCATTTCATATTTGATATTTTGTTTTATTGATATTTTATTTCCCTGCTAAGTCACATTGTACAACACAGTAGGAAGCTCCTGGCAGAACACAGAAGAGAAGAGAGGTGACAAGAATGGCTGCCACACAGGAAAGGAACGCTAAGCACAGGTGCTGTCAGTGAAATTGCGGCATGTACATAGAACATGCAGTTGTCAGGTGAAGACTGCCTTGGATGTGGCAGTGGAAGCAAAGATTATTTCTGTGATAGATTTTGTTTGCGTTTACACTGTAGCTCGCATAGGCTTTTATTTCTGATGTTATCTCCTAAGTTTTGTAAGCAAATACACAGCTGATGTGAAAATGTTGGTGTTTATTCTAAACACACAATACATACTAAGAATTTAATACTTCATTTTATTGATGTTTTATGTTCCTGTTAACTATACATTGCATAGAAGAACAAAACAGCAAGACCAGCAAGATATCAGGTATGTCCTACAAAAAGACTAGGAAAGCAAAACACACGTGCTGTCAGTGTGAGTAATATGTGTGTGGAATGTGCTGTTGTCCTATTTGAAGACCTCCTTAGATGTGATAATTGAAGTAAAGATTTTTGTTGGACAGTGCTATTGTTATTTACATTGTAGTTCACATAGGAATTTATTTCTGTTGTTTTTAGACTTTGTACACCAAGAACCAGTTGATGGTGAAATTTTGATGCTTTTTATAAATGCTCAATAAGTATTAAAAATGCAATACATTATTTTTTATATTCTTTCCTGTTAATTACTCATTAACATAATAAAACTCATGAAATTCAAATCAATAATTCATCAATAGAAATAGTCAAAGGAATTAACGTGGGTTTGACATATTCATGTTGATAGGCTTTTATGACAAAAAAATGTGTTATGCTTCGCCAGCCAGGCACCAGGACTGGGAGTGGAAGTTTCACTCAGCATAAAGGCGCCAGAGACTTCATGTTCAAAGCTCCCTTTAAATTCAAGGTTTCACTTAACTGCTTTAGATGAGTTAAGTGGTCCGCCTGCGGAGACCTCGCCACAGTAAACAGAGGCAGGTGACAGCAGCCACTATGGGGCGGGGCGTTCTATGCACGTCAGGTTGACCTTGGGTTCACTTTATAGTCCAGGCTGGCTTCAAACTTCAACGATCCTCCAGCCTCAGTCTCCGGAGCGCTGGGATTACAGGAGTGAGCCACCACGCCCAACAGCTGTTACTACTTCTGTAAAGGCTGCGGGGCCCCTGGGCCACTTGAAAGCAGCAAAGGTCCCATACGCATGCGCGACCGAAGCAAGTGGGCGTGACCAATGAGCGACGCGAGGGGTGGTGACGCGCCTGCGCAGGTCTGCTGTCATGGCGGTAGTCTGAGTCGACGGCGAGGGTCTGGGGTACACCAGGCTGGGGGTCGCGGCGGGTAAGCTTCTGGGAGAAACGACGGGATGGGGTAAAGTACAGGAAGCCTTCTAGCACCAAACCTGGCTTTGAGATTTGGGCTGCCACAGACCTGAACCCTAAATCCCAATTCCATCGGAACCTCATTTCTCTTTCTGCACGAGAATATCTGGAAAGGATTCTATGTGCTCGGCTGGGTTTTCATTCGGGATTCAGGCAGCCTCCTCCCTGGGGTCGCATTATGCCTTGACTGCCTTTTGAGACAGTAGTGCTTATCCCATAAGGAAGGGTTCAGGGGGGCTGCAAGGCAGGAGCAGCTGTAGCGGGGTTGGGGGGTGTCCCTAAAACCGACTCCAGCCTGCAGTGGCCAGCCAGGCCTTTCCCCTGCATCCAGGGCCCTGGTTCCTCCAGCTTCCTTGTCTTCACACGTGCTGTCCCGTTACCCAGCATCTGGCCAGGAAGCATCATGGAATCGCACAGTTCCTTTTCGCTCATTGAGTGGGTCACCTGGCAGAAAAACAGGAAAGAGTGGAGCTGTTTCAGCCCTCTAGTCCCAGCAAACTGCATTTTGGGACAGCGGAGACGTATAAAGGAGTGAGCCCAATCCCCGCAGTCTTAAAAGAGCCAAGAATACCCGTCAGCTCAATTTTAGGAATGAGCCTGTAGCCAACAGAGGGAGGGGTGTTACCCATCTTATTATTGGTCTGCTTTTTTTTTTTAGCTCTGCTCAGTAAAGAGAGGATCCCAGGCACACACCTAGCCTCAGCATTCCCAGATGGAGATTCAGAGTCACTGTCTCCAAGTAGAGAAACTGACCACTGCCTTGACCCATCTTCCCAGGACACTCCTTAATAATTATACTGCTAAATAAAGAAGGAGGGAGGAAAGGAGGAATGTTATCTGGTCAGTGGGATGGAATGGTGGATTTACTCCTCCTGGATCCAATCCTATTATGCCAGTCTTCAGCTGAATGTTAGTTTCATTCACAATGAAATCCTCCATTGATTTACCAGATTCACTTGGAAAGACAACATGGAGACCCTGGGTCTTGTTTTCACAAAATTCTTTGTGTTAAGACATCTGTTGCTCTTTTGTGGCAATGTAGGAAATCAGTTATGTGTTCTTGAATCATGAGAACATCTGGGTTACAGTGACCTCATTTTCCAGTTAAATGGAGGCCCTGAAGCCCATGACATAGTGAGTGCATATACCTGACCAGAGTGAGAATATACCTGAAGAAACAGGACCAGAGAGGTGAAATGATTTTTCCCAGGGTCACATAAGCAAGCAGTAGGGACCAGGGTTTATATCTGACTTGCCTAACTTCAAAGCCACCCAACTGCTGTTGTTTGGTGCCTTTTGATGAAGTGGGACATTTCATTGTTGGGAAATCCTTCCTACTTTTGACCAGTTTGCCTAGGCATGGTTTTCCAAATTCTAGTTATTGACTGGTCACCTTCATAATTTTTCTATGCCTATATATCATCTGCCCAGAGAGTCCCTTAATTGCTTTTCCTTTAAATCCACTCACTTTTCTAATAGGAAGACTAAAACAACAAATGATATGTGGGAGGTAATGTCAGCTTCTAGAGTAAAAAAAAATGCCTACAGGGCCATAACGACTAAATGCGAAGCATAAATCATGATTGTATTCTGGCTTGAGAAAAATAGCAGTGAAAGACATTTGGGAGACATGGAGATTTATTGTGAGCTAAATATTAGGTGATATTAAGGAACCCTTGCCTTAGGTCTGAGAGTGGTCTTACAGTTATACAGGAAAATGTTCTTGGGAAACAGACATTAAAGAAGAATTTGGGGGTCATGTCATGATGTCTGCTGTGGACTTTTAGGGAGTTCACAAAGAAAAACTCCAGACAGATACGTAGGTAGATTGATGCAGGAAGTTCAAAGAGGAAAACGCCCGATAGATAGATAGACAGATGATAGGGTGAAAGCATGTAGCAAAATGATGTTCATTGAATCTAAGCAGTTGACATATGATTTCTTTTTGTTATGCTTTTTCCCTTACATATTTGAAATTTTAGTAATAAAATTGAAGGAGGAAAAAAAGAAAGGAAACTTCATCACTATTTATAAATGGAAACTCAAATCAGTTACTATAAATACAAGGTTACCATGAAAATTAAGACTGTGCAAACAAAGTGTCAGTTAATACTGGCTGCATTGTTTTCCCTTGCCAAGGCCCTGAGACTCACTCCTTAGAAAACGCTAGAATGGAACTGGCAAGGATAGCACTTCCTCCTTGGAGATAATGAAGAGTGGTCAGCCCCCTGGTAGGGTGTGCTACACTGCTCCCCTTGGAGACCTGCCACCCTCAGGGCCTGTCCTTCCCTCTCAGGTGCTCCTGGTGCACGAGTAATGTGGGACCCTGCCATGGATGAGGTCACCTTCAGAAGCGACACGGTGCTGTCAGATGTCCACCTCTACACCCCAAACCAGAGACACCTTATGGTGCGGCTGAATGGCGTGGGGCAGCCCGGTAAGGTCCTGACCTGGGTACGGTAGCTAAGCATCCTAGAGATCCCATTTTAATTTCTGGGAAAAACATTGGGAAGACTGGATTGCTTACGTGTTATCCTCATGCCACTTAAGTGCTCTTCCTTCACTGAGCGCAATCTGGCGTTTCCTGAGTACCTGCTATGTGCCTGGGGCTGATGCTAGGAATGCAGGAATTAATGAATCCAGCTCCATCTTCAGTGAACTCAGGGTCCCGTTGAGAAAGTGAGCTCTATCTCATGTCAAGTCAGGGCTGCTGAGGGACCATGGTGCATACCTATAATCCCCGCTACTTGGGAGGCTGAAGAAGGAGGATTATGAGTTCGAGGTAAGCCTGGGCAACTTAGTGAGACCTTCTCTTTTAGGAAGGAAAAAAATAAAGTGAGGTTGAAGGGAGCTGATGGAAGAGAGGATTGGAAACACAGGTAAGGAGTGCTAACTCCGAACCAGGTGCTGTCTGTTTACCACGTCACCATATCCTTAGATAACCCAGGGGTGGACACTTTGATTCTTGTGATACAGCTCAGAGCAGAAAAATGACTTGTGCAGCGTCAAACAGGCAGCAGGTCTCAAGTGCAGGGCTGCCAGCTCTGAAGTCCTTGCTCCCCCTGCCTCCAGCCTGCTCTCCTAGCATATGGGGTTTTTTGGGGGGAGGGGGGAGGGGTTGTTTTTTTGGTTTGGTTGTTTTTATTGTACTCGGGATTGAACCAGGGTCCTGAGCTATATCGCCAGCTCCTTTTCTACTTCTTGATTTTGAGATAGGGTCTCACCAAGTTTCCTAGGCTGGGCTCACACTTGTGATCTTCCTGCCTCAGTCTTGCAGAGTGCTGGGGTTATAGGCATGTATCACCGCACCTGACTCCTGGGTACATGCATTCTCACTGAAACCTGTCCAGTGACTTTCTGGCCACCAGACAGTGAGGGACACTATATTCCTTGATCATCATCCAGACCTCAAAAGGCAGAACAGTGTAGTAAGAATGACGGCAGCCAGAGGGTTGAACAGACTATTTGAATCCTGCTTCAGCCGTGGACATAGCTGTGCAGCCTTGGTCAGCTCCCTCCACCTCTCAGCCTCAGTTTCTGTATCTGTGAAAAGGAGTGGCTATGCCATGTCCATGGTGATTCTGAGGATTAAAAGAGTGGACCATGTGCCTGGATGCATGAAGGCGTAGATAGATGGATGCCTGTGTTTTAGTGCCTGTGTCATAGGTACTCACGAACCTGCACTGATTGTTGGTTTTGACAGCTTGAGTGGCCCCAACAGCCAGTGGTTCCTATAATTAAATGGGTCTTTTCTGCTGAAGTTAGGGTATCTCCACTTGGCTTTTAAAATTCTCTTCAGTTGGAAATCAGATTATTCAAAGGACAGGATGTAGAGGAAAGACACTGGAGTTATTCTGTCTTATCTTACCTTTCAGTTTTCCTGTCCCAGTTCAAGCTTCTATGGAGCCAAGACTCTTGGATGGACGCAGGAGCTGAGGGTGGCGATCACAGACATGTGCATACACAAGAGACCCCTCCTCCTGGGCCAAGGGGCCCAGGTTCCCCTCCTGGAAGTGATTACAGTCCTGAGAGTTTCTCCCTCCAGGCCAGGGCTGACAACACTGGCCAGGAAGGAGCAGGTGCTCAGCTGGACAAGGATGGGGATTTGGACGTGGTGAGAAGACCACGGGCTACCTCTGATACTGACCCTGAAGAGCCACCTCGAGACAAGGTACATCCCATGATCCTAACGCAGGAAGAAGAGGATGTCCTAGAAGACAAAGCACCAGACAGCTGTCTCCAGAGTATCATCAAAATAGGTAAAAGAAGGCCTGGCTCGCCTGCCCTCGAGGCTGCCCAGATATCAGCATGAGAATGCTCTGCATGTCAGCTCTGTGGTCAGGACTGTGCCAGGACATCATATGCATAAGTATCAGAACCTGCCCTGGTGAAAGTAGGAGCAGGTGGTGCCACTGCCAGCAGAGAGTACTTGCCAAAACATATAGGTCACTCTTGCTCAAGACTTCCCTGGCTCCCCATTGCCCTCAGGTCCAAATGACTCAGCTTGCAAGGCTGTGCATGGCATGGCCTCTACTTCCTGCTCCAGCTTCAACTCACAGCACCATCAGCCCTCACACCTCCCATGTGCCTCCTGGCCTCTGGGCCTCTGCTGTGCTTGCCTCTTTCCCAGGATGTCTGCCACTGGCCTTTGCTTTCTTAGTACATTTCCAACCATTGTACAGGTCCCAGCTTAACTGTGCCCTCTTCCAGGAAGGCTCTGCTATTGCTTCCATATCCTTGTGCTCTAACTAAGTGCGCTGGGAATGTGGCTCATAGTAGTATATGTGGAAGACTTGGCCTGGCTGGGTGAGCAACAGGAAACAAAGAATCCAGGGCTCGTGTGGGCAGTGAAGGGAAAGGGGAGGAGATGAGGCACTGTGACAGACACTCAGGCTGAGTGCAAGACACTGCTCCCTAGATGCAGAGACAAAACAGAGCCCTGGCAGTTGAGGGACGTGGCACACTGGGAACTCCAGAAGTGGTAAGAAGTGAGGGTGGACCAGGGAAAGGCCAGCACTGGCTAAGCACCTGTTGGATGCTACCAATATGGTCTCCCTGGGACTCCACAGACTTCCAAGAGGCACCTAGGTGAGGAGATTAATCCTGCCATCCCAGCACTCATGGGGAGAGCTCTGATCTGAATCTCTTCCTCAAAATCCAGGGTCACTGGTGAGGCCTGGGAGCCTGTGGAAAGGCCCAGCCATGGCCAGGTTCAGAGGTGCAGGGCAATAGTTACATTCACAAATGGACAGACAAACCAGCCACTCTGACATCTGGCCACTCATCAGTTACTGAGCTCTGCTCACTACCAGGCAGTCTCTGTTTAGACTGTTCAGGTGAGGGTGCAGTCCACACTGCTCTGCTGTTCCATGTTTTCCATGGTTTTTTTCTGGTCCTTATGGCCTCTGTAGGAGGGATGAATATTCCCTCTTCATAGAGGAGAGGACCAAGGCCCCAAGATGTTGAGAAATTTGCCCAAGGTCACCCAGATAGTTAGCTACAGATCTGGGACTCACACCAAGCCCATCTGATACCACAGGCCCTAGTCTGGCCCTGTGGCAAGTGATCAGAGCATTTGAAAGTGGCCTGTGAAAGATGAAAAGCTGTTTCTGAAGGAACTAACAACTGCTCTTTCACTCTGGGGCCAGCACAGTCAGTTAGGAATGCACTTCACATTCTTCATCCTGCAGGCTATGAACAGAGACCTATGGGAAGGGGCCAATGTGTGGCAGCTGCCCCACTGGCCCTTTGCTGCAAGCACCATGTCTCATACCCATAAGTTCACCTCTTTCTCGATTCCCTGTTGATCCTGGCCATGTCTGGGAAGAGCACTAGGTAGCTAAGTTCCTGCCCCTAAGTGATGACCTCTAATAATTTTGTCTAGCACTGTCACCACAAAACTTGATGCTGGGCTCTGAGCTTGAATGTCCAGCGGGGCTAGATTTGGGCATCATCTCCACACCTCACAAGCCAAGCAACACTGAACACGATACTGCTCACACAGAGACTTAGATTTTGCACCTCAAAAATGGGATCAGATATCTAACTCTCCTAGAGTTTGATGATAATTTAATAATGCCCTGTAAGTCAGGGGTTTTTTTGTCACACTCCCAAATGAGTTGCTTTTAAAATCCTCATTTGCTTCAAGTTGGCTTCAGAAAAACATCCTGACATATTTTGATCTAGTTCGTTTTTATTCTTCATGGTCATGATCTCAGGCTAGTCATTTCTCCTCTATGTGCTCCAGGTGGCCACCAGCTCTACAGGAATTTGAGCCTTTGACTTGATCAGCCATTTCCCAATCAATGTCTGCTGAGCACATCTCCCTGCAAAGTGTGGCCTGTCTGAGCCCTGTTACAACCCAAGGGTGAGGAGATGGTGTCTTCTCTCCATTTGGTGCAAAAGGAAATCGCAGCTCAGACTCTAGGACATTAAGCAGGTGACAGCACCCACCAAGAGGGTGACAAGACTTGGTTCTTCCTTGAAACCTGACCTCAGAGTCCTTGTGCTCTCCCAAGGAGAGCTACCCACCCCGAGTATGTGCTCAGTTTTCCTGGCTCTCTGTGAAACACATGGTTGAGCCTAGGCCTCCCCATCTGCATCTGTAAATAGGGATAGCCCAGATCAAGGAAAAAGGGCCTCGAGTGTGACTTGCAGGCTTTCTTGGGGTGCCTACCCTGTCCTGTTCAGTGAAAGGATACAGCAGTTGGTGGTGGATGTGTTTTTGCTCCAGCTTCAAATCAGGTGGCTACGTGTTATGCTGTCATACTGTCCTCGCATCCTTCTGAAAGGAGTGTTGTTTACCCGAAGTGACTTCCAAACTGTTATCACCCAACAGGATGCTTGTGCACGGGAAGAGCTTGGGTCACTTTACTGGGGCCATTCTTTCTAAGTCTGCATGAAAGGCAGGAATCCTTGTTTCACCCTTGTCTTAAGCCCTCAGGAATAGTGGCCTGGGTCCTCCAGAGGACCCTCCAGAGAGCCCTCAGCATAGTGGCTTGGGGACAGGGTGGTTGGCTTATATCCTGGACTGCTGTTGGCAGTGGCACACATTCTTAGTCTCTGGCCTGTCAGCATCGTGAGATGCCCACACTGAGAGCTTGTGGGAACCAGAAAGGACTAGGAAAGTGCAGGCATCCTGACAGCCAGGACCAGCATCAACACTCTACCCTTGCCCCTCTTTCCCCTGCCCTCCTTGTTTCTCTGTTTTTGTAAACCTGTGGTTTGATTTGAGCAAGAGCCTGCTGTGCTGTGCTTTAACCTCATTTCCATTAACACTCTTACTTCACACATTGGAGCATGTTCCAGTTTCATAGCAGAAATGTCTTACGTTACCCTTTTTCTCCTTGACCTTGTCTTTCTGTTTCCTTTCCCCCAGTACACCAGAATTTTATCCTAATATACTTTGCAGTTGGGAATACTTACTCATCAACTTTTTTAAAAAGAATATAAATTCGAACTTATTTCATTCACTTGTAACACAATTCCTATATAAGAAAATACTTGGGAATGAGTTATTATTATTAGCATGTGAGTACACTGGAATTGTAAAATTGCAATTACTGGACATAAAGTGCTGTGTGATACATGTGTGTAATGAGGCTGGTCCAGACCCGTCATGAGTGCAGTCTGGGCCGCAGGGTACAGTCACCCAGGGATCTGGAGGAGAATGACCCTTCATCCCTGTGCTCTAGGTGATGTTCAAACACCACTCCCACCTCATAGCTCCTCAGCTGTCCAGGGCATCCCACTCTACTGTCCGCCCTGCCACACAAGTGCTTTTCTGTCTGTCCTCATTTTTACCGTGGGCATTTCTCTTTTGGTTTCCATCCTGTCTAGAGCACACCATGGCCACCCCCTTGGAGGATGTTGGCAAGCAGGTGGGTATGTCCTGTCTGCTGCCCTTGGCCCCAGAGGGTCTCTCCAGAGCCTCCTGTCACCTCTTCTCTATCCTCTCCCCTCCAGGTGTGGCAGGGTGCCCTGCTCCTGGCAGACTACATCCTGTTCCGGCGGGACCTCTTCCAGGGACGCACTGTGCTAGAGCTCGGCGCTGGCATGGGGCTTGCCAGCATCGTGGCAGCCACCATGGCGCGGACCGTTTATTGTACAGGTAATGAGGTGATGGCCCAGGCGGAGGGGCAGGATCTTCACAGAGTGTACGACTGTAAAACGTGGGGTGAGGGCACCAAGCGTTGGATGTGGCTGCTGTTGATTTGCCATCCTGCTCCCCTAGTTCCTTCCATGCTGTGTTCTTTCTTGATGATGTCACAGTGACCCATAAAGCCTCGTCAGTGGCCACATCCTGTCCTCATGTCCCAAGAAAATGCACCCATCCCAGGAAATCATAGAGGATGTTCCCATAAGGCCTCAAGATTAGGCTTATCATTTCCTCCTGGTTATGGAAGTTTTGCCTATTCTTTGAGAAGTTTATAAAACAGCAAATAAAAATTTGTTGTAATTTTGCAACCCTCAGATTTATTCATCATTATCCCATTTGTTCAGCACCTACTGTGTGCCCAGGATACCTCTAGGTGCAAAGGATCCAGCAGTGAATGCAAGAACTGAGCCCTTAGTCCCTGGGTACTGCATTTTAGACTGCATTTGATTGTTCATGTAGATGCTATAAACTTTTTCCTATGTGTGTACATCGTCCCAAAGAATAGCTGAAATAAGCTACACCTGGTACAAAATGTTGCAAGACTTTTTTCCAAGAGCGTTTTCCCATGTTGTTAAAAATTATTTTGTCTATGGCTTAACAAATTTAGGGTTCTTTTTTTAAATTTTACTTTAAATTTTATTTAAAGAGAAAAAAAGCAAAACAGAAACAAGGGTAGAAATAATACAGAATTTCAAAAAAATAAACAGTATAATCACTAGTTGATAGATTAATTACATGTTGTCATCTTAGAAATAGTTGTTCAACTTACAGAATTAAGGCATACAAAGTGGACATTCAAACAGTGAAACTGCGAACAGTTCTGTTCAACAGTCTAACAAAAACTTAGTAATACAGTTATCTATCTTACACAATTATACATGCAATTATATCCTTTAGAACACTTTCTTTTCCTCTTTTTTTAACAATAGCAATTACACATTTTGGGTTTTATTACTCCTACAGTTCCTATTACTTTTTACACTAGAGATACAATGTGATATTTATAAATATGATTCTTATGTCACTAATGAGGACATGTCACTAATGAGGACAGTCTCAAGTTGCCTCCATTTACCTATGAAGGCCTCATGATCATCCTTTTTATAGCTAAGTAATATTCCATTATATAAAAATACCACATCTTTTTCATCCACTCTGTGGTTGATGGGCATTTTGGTTGTTTCCAAGATTTAGCTATTACAAATTGTGCTGCTATGAACATGAGTGCACATATATCGCTGTGATATGACCTTTTCAGTTTTTCTAGGAAAATACCCAGGAGGGGAATAGCTAGATCGAATGGAACTTCCAATCCTAGTCTTCTGAGAATTCTCTATACTGATTTCCATAGTGGCTGCACCAGTCTACACTCCCACCAAGAGTGGAACAGTGTTCCTTTTTTCCCACAGCCTTGCCATTATCAGTTGATTTCTTAATGGCAGCCATTCTTTCCCGAGTGAGATGAAATCTCAGTGCTAATTTTAATTTGCATTTCTCAAATGACAATTGATGGTGAATATTTCTTCATGTATTTATTTGCCATTTGTGTATCTTCATCTGGGAATTGTGTGTTCATCTCAGGTGCCCATTTTTGGAGAGGGTCTTTGAATTTGGGACACTTGATGCTTTTCAATTCTTTAGATGTTCTGGATATAAGTCCTTTATCTGAGGGGTTGCTGACTAAAATTCTTTCCCATTTCTTTTCACTCTGTTGGTGATTTCTTTTGAAGTGCAGAAAATTTTCAGTAATACCAGATCCCAGTTGAAGTGTTTCCTGTGCAGTTTGTGTTTTGTCCATGAATTCTCTGCCTACCCCTGTGTCTCTACGATTTCCACTCACCTTGTCTTCCAGTAGATTTAGTGTTTCTGTTTTAATATTTAGATCTTTGATCCATTTAGATTTTAGTTTTATGTATGGTGATAGGCATGGGTCTAGTTTCAGTCTTCAGCATGTGGAGAGCCAATTTTTCCAACATTATTTATTAAAGAGGCTATCCTTCTTCCAGTGAACATGTTTAGCTCCTTTGTCAAATATCAGGTGGCTGAGTGTCTTTGTAGTTGTGTTTGCATCTTGTAATCTGTTCCATTGATCCTCAGGTCTATATCTTTGCCAGTACCATGCTGATTTTATCACTGTGGTTTTATAGTATAGTTTCAAGTCAGGAATTGAGATTCCTCTTGCCTTGCCATTGTCACCCAGAGTTGCCTTTGTTATTCTAGGTTTCTTCTGTTTCCAAATGAATTTTAGGAGTGTTTTCTCTAGATCTGTGAGGTATGTTAATGGTATTTTGATTAGGATTGCATTAAATCTGTGTAACAGTTTTGGGAGTATGGCTATTTTCACAACGTTGGTTCTTCCAGCCAAGAGCAAGGAATATCCTTCCATTTTCTAATATCCTCTTCAATCTCCTTTTTTAGTGTAGCATAATTTTCAACATATAAGCCTTTTTGATTCCTAAGTATTTCATTTTTTTAAGATGCTATTATGAAAGGGAATATTTCCATAATTTCTCTCTCGGTGAGTTTTTTGTTTGTGTACAGGGATGCTATTGATTTTTGAGCACTGACTTTTATCCAGCTACACTGCTGAATTTGTTTATTATCTCTAGTAGTCTTTTAATGGAGTTCTTTGGGTCTTCTACATAGAGTATCAGGTCATATGCAAATAGTGATAGTTTAACTTCTTCCTTTCCTATCTTTATTCCTTTTATTTCTCTCTCTTGTCTGGCTAGTATTTCAGAACTATATCAAATAGGAGTGGTGACAGTGGGCATCCTTGTCTTGTTCCTGATTTTAGAGTGAAAGCTCTCAGTTTTTGTGCATTTAGTATAATGTTGGTTGTTGGTTGGTCATAAATGTCCTTTATGAGATTGAGGTAGACACCATGTATTCTGAGTTTCTGAAGGGTTTTTATCATGAACATGTGTTGGGCTTTATCAAAAGTGTTTTCTGCATCTATTGAGATGTCCATGTGGTTTTTGTTTTTGGCTTTGTTGATGTGGTATATTACATTTATTGATTTGCGTATGTTAAACCATCCCTGCATTCCTAGAATGAATCCCACTTGGTCATGATGTATAATCTTGATGTTTTGCTGCATTCTATTTGCCAGTATTTTATTGAGAATCTTTGCATCAATGTTCATTAGTGAGATTGGCCTATAGTTCTCCTTTTTGGTTGGGTCTTTCTCTGGTTTTGGTATGAGAGGGATACTTGCCTCCAGGAATGATTTAGGGAGGATTGCTTCCTTTTCCATTTCATTGAAAAGAGTTTAAGGAGTATTGACATTAAATCTTCTCTAAATTTCTTGTAGAATTCAACCATAAATCTGTCAGGACCCGGGATTTTCTCTGTTGATAAGTTTTTAATTACATTTTCAATTTCAATAGTTGATACTGGGTTATTCAAAATTGCTGTATCTTCTTGGTTGAGCTTTGGTAGTTCATGTTTCTAGAAATCTGTCCATTTCCTCTGTGTTTTCCACTCTATGTGAGTAGAGATTTTCAAAGTAGGTATTTATGATCTTTTGATTTTCCATTTGATCTGTAGTAATCTCCCTCTTTTCAGTCCTTATTGCATGAATTTAGGTTTTTTCTTTTTCTTGGTAAAGTTAGCTAGAGGTTTTTCAATTTTGTTTATTCTCTTTAAAAAACGGCTTTTTGATTCATTAATTCTTTCTATTGCTCTTTTAGTTTCAATTGCATTGATTTCTGCTGTAATCTTTACAATTTCCTCTTTTCTATGAGCTTTGGGTTTAACTTACTCTTCTTGTTCTAGACCCTTGAGGTGAAGCATTGGGTTGTTTAGTTGTACTCATTCTGTTTTCTTGATATGACAATTTATTGCTATATATTTCCCTCTTAAGACTGCTTTAATTGCATCCCACACATTATAGTATGTTGTTTCTGCATTTTCATTGAATTGTAGGTATTGTTTTATTTCTTGTTTAATTTCACCTGTAGCCCACTGGTTGTTCAGAAGATTGTTATTTAAGTTCCATGTATTTATGCAGGTTTTGCAGTTTCTTTTGCCATTAATTTCCAATTTCAGTGTGATACAATCAGATATTATGCATGGGATAATTCCAATCCCTTTGCATTTACTTAAGAACGTTTTATGGGATAATATATGGTCTATTTTGGAGAATGTCCCATGTGCAGCTGAGAAGAATGTGGAACACTCTGTAAATATCTTCTGTAAATTGCTCACAGGTATAATTCAGTTCTGTTATTTCTTTGCTGACTTTTTGTCTAGTTGATCTATCTTTTTGTGACACTGGGGTATTAAGGTCCCCTGTTATAACTGTGTTCTTGTATATTTGGTTTTTCATGTCCTTTAGTATTTGTCTTATATAGTTGGATGCTCCTGTATTATAATTGTTAGTTCTTCCTCTTGAATTTTTCCATTAACCAGTATGTAGTAATCTTCTTTATCTCTTTTAATGATTTTAAGTTTGAAGTTCACATTGTCTGCAAATAGAATAGTTACCCCTGCTTTTTTTTTAGTTATCTCTTTTAATCAGTTTAAGTTTGAAGTTCACATTGTCTGCAAATAGAATAGTTACCCTTGCTTTTTTCTGAGTTCCAGTTGCATGGAATACTGTTTTCCATCCTTTGACTTTTAATCTATGAGTTTCCTTTTGAGTCAGATGTGTTTCTTGTATACAGCATATTGTGAGATCATGTTTCTTGATCTATTCCATTAACCTATTTCTTTTGATAAGTGAATTGAGGCCATTTACATTTATGGATATAACTGATATATACTGGCTCGACTTTGCCATGTTATGTTCCAGTTGTTTGCTTTCTGCTTCTCCCCATTGTTTAATTGCTTGTCCAACCTGGTGGTTTCTGTCGGTTGTTGTTCTGGGGATTGTGGTCATTTTTATTTCTTATCTAGTATGTCTTTCAATACTCTTTCTAGGGTTGGTTTGGTGGGCATGAATTTCTTCAGTTGTTCTTTGTCATGGAAGTATCTTGATTCTCCATTAAATTGGAATGAAAGTTTTTCTGGGTACATCAGTCTGGGTTGAAAGTTGTTTTCTTTCAGGGCTTGAAACACCTCACTCCAAGCTCGTCTTGACTTGAAGGTTTGTACTGAAAAGTCTGTTGTGATTCTCATGGGCTTTCCTTGATAGGTGAGTTATGTCTTTTCTCTAACAGTTTTTAGTATTGTTTTTATGCTGCACATCTGGGATCTTAATTATATCTGGATGTTAGATTCATGTTGGTTGTGAAAGTTTAGTGTTCTATATGTATCACCTATGTGCATATCGGATTTTTTCCCAATGTTTGGGAAATTTTCTGCTATTACTTCTGTGAATATTCTAGTTATGTCATTTGCATGGACTCCCGCATCTTAACTGATGCCTATTAGTCTTATATTGTTTCTCTTGGCATCATCTTGAAGCTGCTGGATTGTCATTTCATACTGCTTTCTTATTTTTAGAAGTTCTACCCTTTCATGATCATTAATTGTGATCCTGTCCTCAAGGTCCAAAATTCTATCCTCAGCTTTATTTAAACAGTTTTTATGCTGCTTTCAATAATTGCAGCTTTCAATAAAATTTTTTGTTTCTTGAATGTCTCTTTGAGTTTGTTTCATGAATTTTGCTTGTTTTCTATATTGTTCAGTCAAGGTTTCTACCAGTTTCCCATGCTCCTGTACTTTTTTATCTATTTCTTCTCTAGCTGCAACTCCTTTACTAAGGTTGTTATTTCTGTCTTTATACTAGAGATTAGGGTTAGGGTTAGGGTTAGGGTTAACCCTAAGCTCCCCTATGGCCTACTTCTGGAGGGGTCTTCAGTTTTGCTCCTGTTTACCCACAGAAAGTAGCAAACTATTCCTATTTTAGGAGCAAACTCACCTCATTGATGGAAGCCTGTTGAGTTCTTCTGCTTGAATGAGGGGTTACAGAGTCCCTAAATACTGCATGGTTAGTCCATTGTAGTCCAAGGCTCTAGGGGAAGGTATAGGAGCCGAAGATCAACAGCAATATTAGGTCCAGAAGGTGAAGGCGTCCCCGATGGCAGAAGTGGGACTGCGGGGGCACGCATTGAGGGCTGGAATTCCTAGGTCCTGAGGTGGATGGCCAGGACTGTGGGGACATGGGAGAGGCCTGGTTCTGGCCCGGCCCATCCACACCACTGGCTGGAGTTCCCAGGTCCTGTGAGGTGGTCTGCCCAGACGGCAGGGGTTACGGGAGGGACCCAGGTCTAGCCTAGCCCCATGTGCACTGCTGGCTGGAGATTCCAGGTCCCGCAAGGTGGTCTGCTGGGGTGGTGAGATGGTGGGGGTCGCAGGAGGAGCCTGGGTCTAGCACAACCCCATGTGCACCGCTAGCTGGAGTTCTGGGGTTCATGTGTATTTGTGTGTGTGTGTGTGTGTGTGTGTGTGTGTGTGTGTTTGTATGTGTGTGTGTGACTGGGGCTCAGACCCAGGGCTTTACATGCCCCAAGTGCTTTATCAAAGAGCTACATGCCCAGCCCCTGGATCCTTATTTTTAGCCCTTCTATTGCTGAGCATCTTACCCAACCATTGGCATCAATCAGAATCAGAAACACAAGTGAGATCCTGTTAATGGAACTGAAAGTGTGTGCTAGTCTATGAGAGAGCAGTAGTCTGGTCAGATGAGCATTGTAATGATATTTTTAAACTCTGCATGGACTGTGTTTCATTGTTTCTCAGTGACCATTTTAAGCCCAGCACTCAAGTAAAAAAAAATTTTTTGAAACTCTTGAACATATCCAACATCCTCTTTACCTGGTGGTATAGAAGTACCAGGTCCCCCCATCATAAGCTCTTTGTAATATCCGACTACTATATTAGGTTTGCAGTTGCTTGGAACAAAGAGCTGAAACCCACAGCATGAAGAAGGAGAGGTTTAATTTGGCTCATGATTTTTGGATTTCTATCTCTTGTCTTGCATTGGCTCTAAGGCAGAAAGATCATGGCAGAGGAAGCTGCTCATGTCATGGCAGCCAGGAAGCAGAGAGAAGTAAGGAGCTGGGGAAGGAGATGCAGCCTCCAAAGGTTCTCCCCCCAGTGACCCACCTTTTCCAACCAGGCCCCGCTTCGTAAGAGCACGTTCAGCTGAGAATTCCTGCTGATGCGTATCACATTTCCATGGTCCAGTTACCTTCCAAAATCCCCACTGCTGAACACACAAGGCTAGGGGAACATTCTAGCTCTCAGCCATGATGCAAACAGTCTAGTCCAGGGGAGTATGCACTGAGTGGGATGGAAGTGTCTGCACCTGTAATAGACCACCCAGATGTCATTCATGGGACCTTCTGTACCTTCCACATTTATCTTCTAAATAAAGTTAACTTTTAACAAAGCACCCTTTCCTAGTGAAAAGCTCCTGTATTACAAATCAGTACTGTTGAAACAAAAAGAAATCCACCTCATCTGAGTAGCCAGAGATCCTGTTGGTAGCAAACAATGAATCACCTGAAGAGAGGGTACCTTGGTCTGTTTGAAGCTGCTCTGCATTGCAGTTAATCATAGTGGACACCCTTCTCTAGTTACTTCTCTGGAGTCAGAAAAGGAGCCTAAATTTGGAGCCAGAGACCCTTGATTCAAATCACAGCACTGTTCTCACTGGTCATAGGACTTCTTCAGGGACTCAGGCTGTGAAGTGGCAATCCTGATACCGGTTCCCAAGGTGCCTGTGCAATGCACTTTTCATATGTGTACTGCAGAAATGATGGATTCTCTCCTCGGCCTTCTAGAATGCAGCCTGTTCCCCGCCATGAGAATCTCATGGGGAGCGGTCACTGAAAAGAACCTGCAGTGTGTGTGTTTACTTTGGGCAGTGGAACTCCTAAGGAAAGGCATGACTGGTCTCTGCAGTCCTGCCATTGGTAGCAGCTCTCCAGGCAAACCCCCAGAGACAGAAGTGTACTAACGCCAGCACATCCTCCCATGCCCTCTGTCATTCCAGATGTCGGCGCAGACCTCCTGGCCATGTGCCAGCGAAACATTACCCTCAACAGCCACCTGGCTGCCGCTGGAGGTGAGACCCAGCAGCAAGGGAGGTTTCTGTTTGACAGGCAGGAGAAACAACCAAGATGGTGACACTGGCTGGTAGGATTCCACCTGCTTCCCTCTGTACCAGGTGAATGGAGGGAGCAGGTGCTGTCTTGGTTTCACATGGCTTCATGAGAAGTCCGCACTTGGTTCCCCTCCCACCCCAATACCACATCCCCATCAGCTCCCTCTGGCTCGGAAGTTGGCAGTGTCTCCCAGCACCTCCCCACCAGCTCCTCATTTGCGCTGCCCAGACTGTGTTCCATGCAGCATCCAGAGTGGCCTTTCTGAGATGCAAGCCTTCACCCCACTCAGAAAACCTGCCGGGGTAGCTGTGCTCATGGGATATATACAGACTCTTCCTTGACTATTCACACCTCCCTGACCTACCTGCTGCTTGCCTGCCCTGCCTCTTCTCCTGGCAGTGAGCCTGGGATTCATGCCACAGGCTCTGCCTCTCCCTTGTCCTCCCTACCTGCCTGACTGTCCAGTCCCCATCCCCGCACAGCTTGTTGGAATGGGTTTATATGATAGGTGACAGTGGAGACCTCCTGCCTGGACTGCCCTGTGGACCTTCCCCTCCAGGCAGGGAATCGGCCCTGCAGAATTCAAGCCCCTCAGAGCTTTCCTATTACTCTGGGCGTTGGGATTGAGCTCCTTACGCACCTCTTGTCTTCAGGTCCTTACTCTTGCACAGTGTGGTTCCTATTCCACACCCAGCTTTACTAAGCCCCCTCCTGCACCTTTGGCCTTCCCTGGGGTCTCTGCACTTGCTGCTTCTCCACCTGGAGCTGTTCCCTCCCACCATCCTTCCCAGAGTTCCTCCTGAGTCTCCACCAGATGCTAATGGCATTGTATTTTAACATTTGTGCGCATGGCTCACTAACTGATGTCTGCCTTCCCTTCTCTGGCAATACCGTTGAATGTGCAGCATGCAGGAGGCCATTGGTGAAGATGAGAGGTGCAGCCACGTGCTGTGCAAGGCCCCCCAGCCCCTGACCTGATGTAGAGTCCTCCTTCAGGCAGTTGGCACCTCCCTTAAGCATCACCCCAACTGTGCAGTCTTGTGGCATCTGTTAACCTGCTAGGCTGGTCCCTAAAGATAGAAACCAGAACTTAGATGCTTACATTCCCTCAGATGTTTGTATGTCTGATACAGCCACTGACACTTGGTACTCAGCATGCAGGGAAAGACGAAACAAGGGTGAGAGAGGAGGGACAGGTGGGAAGATGGGTGAATGATGAGATGGAGGGGTGGATAGGTAGGCCTAGCAAAATAATTTCCTAATTACATGGAGAGTTTGGGAGTTCTGCTCATTTTTGTTTTTGCAGGTGGTGTAGTGAAGGTCAGGGAGCTGGACTGGCTAAAGGACAACCTCTGCACAGGTGTGTTTTTCTTTGCATCCTCTCTATTTAGCAGCTTCTCCATAATGTGTCCAGGTCTTAGCTGTGTGGCCTGGATTAAGCAACAGAGCCCAGGCTGCCACCACTGTCCCTCCAGCTCCTGGTAGGTTCCCTCCACTGGCCAGTGAGAGTGACAGCTGGCCTTCTTAAAGCACCTGTCCTGTGCCAGCACCTTCTATTCATGTTGCTGTTCATATCTCACAAGGTCACACTACGTGGTAGGCATGATACACTGTGAATTAGGTGTGGATACTGGCACTCACACATTGGTGCCTACAAGAAGCCACATAGCTGACACTTGGCAGAGTCAGGGCGTGACCTCAAGTGTGTCAGCCTCCAGGGCACAGATCATTTCCCAGCAGACAGTGATGCCAGGAAGCTCCTGGGGTAGAAAGGTTTCTTGAGTCTCTTTTGCAACCTTCTGCAAATTGTTTCAAGCTCCCTGGATGCCTGCTCTTCAGAGACAGACTGCCTTCCTTCTCTCTGCCAGAGGCAGGTGAAAAAAACATGATTTGTGTACCTGTTAGCTGCCAAGGACTTCATGTACTTACCTTCCCAGCAGCCCTATGAAGGAAGTAGTATTAGGCTCATTTTTTATTTTATTTTTGGTTCATTTTGTTTTTTGATATTTTTTGAGACAGAGTCTTGCCTAGTTCAGGCTGGCCTTGAACTCAATTGTGTAGCCCAGGCTGGTCTTAAATTTAAAGCAATTCTCCTGCCTTAGCCTCTCAAGTGCTGGAGTAACAGGTATGTGTCCCCATGCCTGGCTTTTTTTTTTTTTTTTTTTTTTTTTTAACATCCTGAGAATGGAACCTAGGGCCTTGTACATGTTAGGCAAGCGCTGTACTGCTGAGCAGCATCCCAAGCCCTCAGGCCCTTTCTATAAGCAAAGAGGGATATAGCAAGTGTTTTGGGTATCACACAGCAAGTGAATTGGGGCAGGAAAGATTTGGGCAGCAGCACAGATCATGTTCTGACACAACTGCCGGCCAGGGCAGTAAGTGAGGCTGGAATCTGCCTGCCCTTCACTGGTGAGCAGGGCTGTCCTTAACTCTGTGACTCTGCCCATAGCCAGAGCTGTGGCTCTGGAGACAGTGTGCTGGACGAAGACCTGCCTTGCAGTGTTCATTGCACCAAACTGCCTCTGACCCTTTCTCCTATCCTGAAACTTCTTTGGGCTAGTCTCTGGGGAGAGCTGGTGGCCAGTGGAGAAAGACTGGGTCACAGCATCGTTTTTCCTGCAGATCCTGAGGTCCCCTTCAGCTGGTCAGAAGAGGACATCTCTGACCTTTATGACCACACCACCGTGCTGTTTGCAGCTGAAGGTAAGGAAGTCCCCATAGCCATGCACCCTCTGTCATTACCGGTGCAGTTTGGTATCACATCACATCCTCTGAGTCCTCTGCTACCTAGAAACATCCTTCCAGAGCAGTCTGCCAAACCACTTCCATCTGTGATGCTGGGATCCTCTCCTGGGTGTCCCACGGGCCCTCTGAGCAGATCACCCTGACACTGGTCAGTTCTGTTCCACAGTGTTTTACGACGACGACCTGACTGACGCCCTGTTTCGCACGCTGTGCCGGCTCGCCCGCAGGCTGAAGAACGCCTGCACGGCCCTGCTGTCAGTGGAGAAGAGGTGAGCTGTCCTGGTGCCACATGCCACCATTCACTGAACATCTGCTGCTGCAGGTCACTCTAATCCCTCACACCTGCCACCTCTTACTCCATGCTGAATGCCATGAGCAGCACAGCCATCCCACGTGCAGATGAAGCTGTGAGACACTGGGGCCTGCCTGGGCCACTGCCTGGTGGCTGATGAGGGACCCAGCTGCTGCTTGGCCATCGCCACTGACTTTAGCACTTGATGAGGCCTTGTTAACTACCTTTAGCATCACCTGCATTTCCTTTTCCTATGAAAAAATATAAGCTTTTCAGTGTTCCTGTGTTTTTAGCAAAACCTACTGAAATGATTAGTAATAAAAATAGGAAGAGAGAATAACCCTAACGGAGGAGCGTTTTCCCATGAGCTAACCCTGCACCTCTGGATGGTATCATATGCTGAATGTCGCTTCGCTTTGGCTCCCCCTCTTCTGTCCTAGATTTTTTGTTCAGAGCCAAACATTCTTGCGTATTCACTGCAGTGTGGTTTGTACCGATAATGCTAAGGACTGTTCAGAGGAACATAGGGGACTCATTTGGATCCTCATTTTACAAACCACAAAGGAGCAAAAATAGGACAGTTAGTAAAAGTTGAACAATACAAATGTGATGTTTAAAAATTACTGTGAAGTTTGTCCTGGGTGAAGAGTATCCTCCAGATACACAGGCGAGTATTTACAGAGGAAATACTGTAGTGTCTGACATTGGTTCTGAGTAGGAGAGACTTGGGAAGAGCAGGGGTGCAGAGGTAGGGAGTCCACAGTGACTGACACTGGGGAGTGAGTTCATGGCAGAGCATTTACTGCCCCTGCTGCCTTTGCATGTGCAAATTTTTTCATAACAAAAGATTTGGGAAGGAAAAGGGAAAGGTGAGGAGCTTGATTTTCGAGTTGAATCGTCTTGCAGATTCTGGTGTTGAAAGGTGTAAATGTCAGAGAGGGGAGACTCAGCTCTGAAGTCTGTCTCTTCTCCCTGCTTCTGTGTCATCTCCACAACCCACCAGTTTCCTAACGATGTGTCCCCGCTCTTCTGTGCTCTTAGCGTGCTCCTCACCTCTACCTCTCCATCATTCATCCCACGTGGAGCTCTGGGACAACACAACTCCACCGAGTCTGTGCCAGTGGAGCAACCTACAGAAGTGCACAGAGGCCTGTACCAATCTGTCCTCATGCCAGTTTGCAGCCTGGCAGAGGCAGGCACTGTCTTTATCTTTCTATGGGTATAATTAGCTTTCTGAGCCTCAGTCTCAAACTATAAACTGGATCTCGCCATTTGCATCTCCCACACTGTTATACAGATTCAAGAAGTATTGGCTCAAATGGTTAGCAAGTATGTGTGGGCACAGTGTTAAAGTCCACAGGAAACAGGATCACTGAGGAACAGGCAGCGAGGTGTGAGGAAACCAGCACTTCCCTGTTATGACAGCAGTTTGTGCGTGTACTGGCTTGGTTCTCAGGTTCAACTTCACACTGAGGCACCTGGACGTCACGTGTGAAGCCTACGATCACTTCCGCTCCTCCCTGCATGCGCTGGAAAAGCTCTCCGACAGCAAGCTGCGTTTTGTGGTAGAGCCAGTGGAGGCCTCCTTCCCGCAGCTGCTCATTTATGAGCGCATCCGGCAGCTGGTAGGTCCTCCTGGGTTGCTCTGACAGGCAGCTGCTGGCCCCAAGTAGAGAAGGTGATGGACAGGCACCCCACACTCAGGCCACACCCTCAGTCCTATAGGCAGCAGAGACCACAGACCTGGCACCATCTTTGGTAAAGCTGGTAGGGGCATCTGTACCCAGTGTCAGTAGTTGCCACATCCAGAGGCACACCCTAAATACCGACTATTTATACTTTCCCTGCAGGTAGTTCAGACATCAGAGGAAGCAGGAAAGCATCAGGTTTCTTAGGGAATGGGAAGCCAGAAGAGGGGAACTGCACTGGACTGCAGGACCTATGAGGGCTCCTATGTGGTGCCTGGTGGTCACTTGTACTGTGGGGACAGACCAGAAGGCTTGTGTCATCACCTTCACCCTTGTGACCCTGCCACACTGGGACCCTACACATCAGGCCTCTGAGCATCATCCTGGAATGATAGCTGACACATACCAGGATCGCACGAAGCAGAGCGCCTTTTGCCCGCTATCTTAATGCTCACGGCCACACCTGAGACAAGATGCATCATCCAGCCAGGAAGTGGCAGCGTACAGATTTAATTCCACAGCCACATCACTTCCTATTCCAGCTTTTAAACCCTGCACTTAGGAAATATTTGAGAAGTCAGAATTACCCTCAAAATGACACAAGCTGGATTCATAGGAGTCCAAGGAGGCAGAGTTAACTTCTTTTGTTCTTGTTGTCCTCTTCAGCCTCTTCCTCTGGCTCCACGGAGGCTCAGGTCCCATTCTGAGTGGGAGAGGGGAGGATGCAGGAGTACAGGTCTGGCTCTCATGCCTCTGTGCTACTTCCCTAGCAGATCCAGACCTGAATTCGTGTAGCTTCTGTGTGGTGTTGGGGAAGGACCTTCATTGGTCACCCCAACACTTGTGGGCCACACCTCTGCCTGTGGTTGCATCAGGCAGCTTTACACACACATTAACAGACTGAGCTAGGAAGAACCCAAGGCTACTGCTAAGAACCTGGTGTGTGTTTGTGTGTTCTCCACCTGCCAGCATTCAGAGCGGCTTCATAGACCAAGAAGCTCGGCCCCTTAGGAAATTCAGGAGCCACAGAGCTTGGTAAAGACCAACCGCCCCCTAAAAAAAGTGGAGAGACAGTGGTGACGAGCTCATTCCCTTGATGCCTTTTAATTGTGTGATGTCCAGATGCCGCCTTCAGATAAGGCTAGACTTTTTCCACCCAGCCTGTCTATCAGTGTAAAACAGAGCAGTCCAGAGCCTCAAGAGATGAAGGGAACTCACCACTCTTACACTGTCTCCATGTTGCCCTGTCTGCCTGTCCCGAGTCCTCTCTCTGGCCAGTTGCTGCCTGCCGTAGAGCTGTGCGGTTCTCTGCATGTCTCAAGAGCCTGTTCTTCCTCTGTTGCAGGAACTCTGGAAGATCATTGCAGAACCAACAGCATGACCCATCTCCTTCATGACACAGGCTCTTGACTGTTCTCATAATATAGTTCTAATAATAAAGTTCAGCAAAGTCTTGCACCTGAGACACTGTCATTTCAAAAGCATGGTAAGTATTTGCCTTAGAGGACCCCCGATGGTTTTCTAACACCTGTCACTGCCTCCTAGCAGTAGTCGGAGAGCAGCACTACTCTGGGCTGGGAGTCCACTTAGTGGCCTGTGTCTCATGCCTGTCACTTGGTGCCCAGGGGGCTTCAGGCACGGCTTAGTCAAGCTGAGCACATGCTCCCAACTTGATTCCCCTTTTTCTGCGTGAACTGCCCCGAGGGCCGGGGCTGTGTAGGCAGTTCGCCTGTTATCTCTGCTGTTTACAGATGTTTTTAATACTCTTGCCACAATTGCCATCATAACCACTCGGCCCAAAGCCTCATTTCCTTCCGAAACAGCGTGTGCTCCAGCCCTGTCCCTTCAGTGAGGGCCCTGTGCCAAAGAGTGGGCTAAACTAGCAAGTGGCTTTTTTTTTTCAATTTTAACCTTTATAACTAAAATCAGATATGTTTAGAACAAACGTGAGAGCTCCTGTCCTGGGCCGGGTGGCTGACCCAGGTCCCTGCACCGATCCACCTCGCAGGTGTTTCCCCTCACCTGGGGCTCACTCCCCTCCTCCACAGCCTCCCAGTATCGTGTCACATGTTGTCTGTGTCCTGCTCCAATTCTTTTCCCTCCAGCTTCAGCCCCTTCTTCCCACCATCACCACCGCTGGCCCAGCCTGCCTTGTGCCTGCCCCAGGGACCTGTCCTCATAGCCCTGATCTGCTCTCTCCAATCCCCATGTCCGTGGCCACACTCATCTCTCCTGAGGTGTCCATCTCCATTTCCCTCATTGTTATCTTTGTGTCAGGGGCCAGTTATTTGCAAGACTAAGCTCATTTTATCTTTTCAGCAAAGAGGTCAACCGTGTGGCTATACCCATTTTACAGTTAAGAAGATTAAGGCCCCAAAAGAAAAAATAGTCTCCCTAGGACAGGGACCTTGTTGGTCTGAAGCATCACTAACTGGCATATTTTCTGGCACAAAATGGGTCTTTGCCACAACTTGTTGAATGAATTATTAATATGAATTATTAAACAGTACTTCCTAATTATGGGTGATATTGTCTCCCAGGCATTGGACAGTGTCTGGAGACATTTTTGGCTGTTACTATTAGGGGAGGCAGAAGTGCTCCTGGCATCCAGGATATGGATGAGGCCAGGATGCTGCTAAACATCCCACAGTGCACAGGCTGCCCCCACAGTAGAGAATGAGCCAACCCAAAGTACCAAGGTAGGGAAACCTTGGCTTGGGACAGAACCAGCTACTGCAGGAGAGAAAGATGGATCTCAGCTGAACCGGTAATGCTAAGAGTACAGAGTATGCCTCACCTTCCCACCCCTGGGGAGGCGACTGGGAAGGAAACCCATGTACATTTGTTATCACTGAATCCTGTGAAGATCCCAAAGACAAAGCGACTCCCATTTTACATGGAGCAATAGGAAAGTCAGAGAGGGGAAGTGACTTACCCAACACCACTCGGCTACCAAGTGCAGAGTTGGGCTTGGATTCCAGGCCCGCCTGACCACCAGGCCCATGTTCTTCCCACATTCCTCCAGTGTGGTCCCCAGCCAGCAGCAGCACCTGTGGTCTCCCACGAGTCCTCCTTAGAAACCCAGCACTGGCCTCCACCAGGGCCTACCTGAGTCAGAACTCAGGTTTTGACCAGGCCCCAGATGTCCTTCTAGAAACACTGCGATCTGCAGCAGAGCCTTGGTCCTTTTCCTGTTTTCTAAAATTGCTACAAAAGTCCTTCCCTGGCAGACATGTTGTCACAAAGCCGGGTTGTGGATCACATGGGGATGTATTAATAATGAGTCCTCAAAACCACCCCGCTAGACAGAGCCCCCAGCTGGCCACGCCTCAGCACTAACGGTGACATTTTCCCAGCACTCCTGGGAACAAGCCCATAAATGTAATTGGCATCAGGCAATAGAGTTGTCACTGCTTTCACCTGGCGCATTAGGGCAAACTGCTTTTATGTCTAAACCACTCGGCCTGAAAGCTTCCTCTAAGTGGAGCCTGGAATTAATCTTGATCCACCATAATTCAAAGCATCATCAGATGTTCACTTCAGAGCTGAAGTGCGCCCTTATCATGGTGTTTTACGGCCTCACTTGAGCCTTTGCTAGTGCTTGTTTGGCGGTGATATTTCAGAAGCATCAAACCATCGAGATGTTCCGCTGGATAATTAACCCAGCCATTGGACTCAATTTTCTTTTTGACACATTCTGACATTTTCAGAGAAATATATGGCCCAAGGAGAAGACACGGTTGTTCAGCTGTAACCCACATAGAAAAGATTTGTTTAAACCAACAAATACTGATGCTGTCACCCCAGCACTTCTCAGACTTCTGCAGGAGAGTCACTTGGGGACTTGAGAGTATGCAGATCAGGCTCAGATTCTGAGAGAGGGTGGCTGCTGCAGTGGAACAAATGCTGCCTGATGCCTACAATGCTGGTCCAGGGGCCAGCATATCACCCATAGTTAAGACTGCCAACTTTGGGGGCTGGGGATTTAGCTCAGTGGCATAAGCGCCTGCCTTGCAAGTAGGCAGTCCATGAGTTCGATCCCAGTACCAATAAAAAGGAAGACTGCCAACTTGAATTGGGCAAACCCAGGTTCAAATCCTTGCTGTGCAGAGTACCAAACAAGTGACTTTACTTCTTTGAACCCAGTTTCCTCACCTGTTGTGTTGGTTACTCCAGATTCCAAAATGGCAGTGGTGACATCAGGTTCCAGAATGGTGGCAACCTAGAGACTCTGTTCTTAGAGTGGATGTAACACTCATATCCATAATCCCAGCATTGCACTATGAATCAGTCACAAATTCTAGAAGCCTGCCCCCCCCAGGCTTTGAGGGGGGGGCATCCTGATACAAACCATAACATTCTGCCCCGAGTCCCCCCAAGACTCGTGCACATCTTTTATGCAAAAGACATTTAGTCCATCTCCAAGAATTGCCAGAGTCCTAACAGCTTCAGCACTGCTGAAAAGTCCAAGTCCAAAGTCTCTTCTGAGATTTAAGGCAAACTTAGCTGTGAGCCCCTGTACAAATGAAAACAATGTTAAACACTTCCAACATGCAATGTCACAAGACAAGCATTTCCATTCCAAAAGTTACAAATGGGAATACAAGGAATGGGACCAAAGCAAGCCCAAAATCCAACAGGGAAAATGTTAAGTACTGTAGTTCCATGTGGAACATGGAAAGCAATCTGTGGCAATCTATAAGCTCAAAAGGTTTGTGTGTCTCCACCCCATCACACTTGCAGTGGTTGTAGCTTCCATGGCTTCTCTCTTGGACCCTGATTGCTCCCTCTTTGCAGGTTTCCTCAGATGACTCACATTCTTGGCTTCTCCAGGCTTCTGTGGTCTCCACTGCACTTTTGGCTTCACATTCTTCCCTCTCAGCCCTTCTTTTGAAATCTAGGTGGAAGCCTTTTTAGCCTCAGAACTTTTGCATTCTGCATACACCTAAAACCAGCACCACGTGTAGCTGGGATTGGAGATCTCATTTGACCCAGCTATTCCCCTTTGGACATACTTCCAGAAGAACTGAAAACATCTTACTACAGTGATATATGCGCACCCATGTTTTAGCAGTACAATTTGTAATAGCCAGATCTTGGAAACAACCTAAATGCCCATCAACTGAGGAACGGATAAAAAAAGATATGGTATTTTTATACAGTGGAGTACTACTCAGTTATAAAGAATGATCACATTGAGATATTTATAAGTAAATGAATACAACTTAATCATAAGTGAAATAAATCAGACTCACATGTAAATACCATATAGTCTCCCTAGTGTAAGAAATGGTAAGAGTACATAAGATACAGAAAACAGTGAAAGGACAAGAATCTGCTTAAAAGGGAAAATGAGGAAAAAGAAAAAGGAAGGGAAAAGATATCTAAAATTATATAAATACACAAGATAACTAAGATGATTGTGCTACAAATTCTGTAAGTTCTTGAACAAAATAGCATTCATAGGATTTGAACAATTGTGCATATTATTCTATGGTGATCTGAGTAACTCTTGAAGATAATTATGTAAAATAATCCTACTTACACTAGGGTTTTGAAAGCCTATATTGTTAGTGTTCTGGGCTCCTTGCTATTGTTGTTTATATATCTTTTTTGTTTTGTGTTTTTCTAGGAATTTGTTTTGTTTTGTCTTATTTTTCCCTCTAATACAGAAGAATAGGTATATGTGTAGAGACTCATGCATGCATAGAACTTCTAAACAGTTTATGAGAATCTATTATATAATGCATGATGAAGGAGCAACTACTTTGAAGAAAAAGAAACACTAAGATACCCAGTGCTGATTCCGTAGCATCATGATGTGAAATCCAGCAATACTGTTATTGTTTGTTCAGAGTGATTTTAGTCTGTCTTGTTTTGTTTAATTTCAACATACATGAAGAATGGACAGCTATCTTGAAGAGAACGAGATACATTATGGCAGCCATTGTTGACTTCCATATTGTCTTGAAGACCTAAAATGCCTTTATCATCTTGTTCTGATCAGTTTTGTACTATTTTGTTTTGTATGAATTCATTATATGTGAAGATATGGACAACTATTTGGAAGAAAACAAGAGACAATGTGATAGACAGTGAAGATCTCTGGTTGTCTGGCTTTGAAATCTGTGTCTCTTACATTGTTTTCTTATGATCTGTTTTGTTCTGTTTAATTTTACCCTCTTTAAAATAAAATTTTAAAAAACAGCACCGTGTGGATGATGCCAAGGTCTGCTGCCAGTTGGAGCAGTAGCCAGGTTTTCTTTTCTCTTGGTGGTAGGGGTCAAGTGCCTAAATTGCTGGGCACTCAGAATCCAATTCTGAGGAACAGAGTCACTAGGTTGCCACCATTCTGGAACCTGATGTCACCCCTGCCATTTTGGAACCTGGAGTGGCCATTGATACTATTTTGGAGCAGTGGTTGCTGCAATTCTGGAACATGATGCTATGTGACTTTT